CCATATATGTAATGTTCTACTGATAAAAGCAATTATTTTTTTAAAAATATAGTTCAGGCACATGAATAATGTAGTAAATCTATCTTATGGGTCTCCATCACTGACTAAGCCTGTGAGCTATGTTATTTTAAAGGGGCTTAGATAAAACTCAGAGTCATATCTGCAAGTTGTTTGAACATACGTTTGTGAACGAAGATATTGTAACATTTATTACTGACTTTTAAGAACAAGGGATATAAGGGACAAATGATGGACTGATCACCTCTGCAAGTAAAGCTGCATTGCTGAAAACCGATTGCCTTCCTTATTTCTGTCTGCTTTTGTTTTCAGCATTCTGAACACCAGAAAACTATATTAAGCTTGTTCAGGATCATTCACAGGTTCATTTCAACAGTCTTTGGCCTGTAAATTTACCAGTTTGAATGCTCAGTACTTGAATTCTCATTCGTATATGCTTGTCACAACTAGAACAAAAAGTGAGTTGGGTACACATGTACACATACATGACTGGGGAATGTTACTGGTAGAATCACAGTTGTAGCAGAGATTTTTCTTCTGGCAATGTTCATCAATGTTTGTATGCTCTTTTTCTAGGACTCTTCTAGCCCGTGAGACTATCTGCTGAAATATTCATGAACAGTGAACATAGATGGTGTATGGGAACTGCTGAATCACACACAGCCTGAACCTCTGATCACCTGAGGCAAGCATTGAGTCTGCCCTGGGAGCACAGGTGAAGGCAGTTCACCTGTGCTGCTGGAAGGGGTGGAGCCTGGCTGTGCCTCTCCTAGAGCCATGTAAGAGCTCACTGCCAGGAGGAAAGGGTCTCTTCTGGAGATCCCTTCTCTGGAGTTTTGCAGTGAGCCCAGGATGCATGTAAGCATTCTATCTATTCTCTTTTTGTTTTTACAGCCTGCTTTGTCTAACTCTCTTGTTTGTTTTGTAATTATAGCATCTTTATGTTCATTGATTATACAGATGGGAATAAATACGCTTGCAGTGAATTAATAACAAAACATGAATATGCTCAGGAAAAGTTGCGTATTTTTTGCTTGGCTCTTGTCTCTCAAGATACTGAGCCTAGTAGCTGATAGTGCTTTTCCATGAAACACTGAAATCTGGATTCTGAGATTGCAGAACTCGGGCAATACGAAAGGATGAAACCTGGCCATTCTCAACACAGAATGCCCTTATTGGAAGAAAAATTCTTTACTATCTATGGCGAGTCTCCAGTGCCTGCTGTCATGCAAGCCACAGTGGCTCAAGGAGGCAGTAGAGAAAGCAATTCCTCAGGAGGACAGAAAACCAAACTACTACATTCTGTCAGTTTTCTTCCAGTGTCTCCTATTACTGGTGGCTGTGAGTCCAATGTAGCAGGGGCCAGTGAGAGGGTGAGATGGAAAGTTCTGTGGCATCACTTTTTTCCTTATTTTTTTTTTTTTCCTTCACTCCTGCTGCTCTTCAGCTGTATCTTGTCTTCATCAGAACTAATTTTGTTAATTCTCCATTCTAAAATGAGTCAGTTGTTGTTGGTGCATAGTTGCATAGCAACATCTGCCTCTTGCAGGCAGAGATAACAGGCAAGCAGGGATGCTAGTGTGTGCCTGGCCCAGGAAGGTGAGGAACAAAAGGAGCAAAGCAGATTGCTACTCCATAGGGCTTTGCAGCTGTGCGTCACACTGCTGCAAACTGGCAGATATATCAGAAGGGCAGGGTTTTATTTCATTTCTAGAACCAGCTTTTGGAATAAAACATATCATCTCAGTGCGGGACACATCCTTCCTACCTCAGGACTTCCTTCAAAAAATACAAAGGAAATTGTGGGATGAGAACTTCAGGGCTTTTTGCCATCCCCTTGTGGGTAGTTTTGTGTGGGAATGTGCTTTGGCTCTCTGTGGAAATGTTCAAACCACATCTTTATGCACAAAAGTCAAGAAACACAAAAGTTAAGAGTCAGAATGAGCAGCACCAATCACGTTCAGTGATTCCAGAAGATCCACATGGTCTTAAAAATCTTGCTACTTCAAAAGAAAAATCTGGAAATATATATTTAGTATTCAGATTGTCTACAATTATTTTATCTTTTTAATAGAAGATCAGGATGGCAAACACATTTCTCCATAAGGATTTGTGAATAAAGTTCCTAATACAGTCAGAAGCACAATAATCTTTATGCCTTCTTCACAACCCTAAATTGCAAAGGATGAATTTGGGGCAGGGGGCAAACAGAATTTTATTAAGTCTTACAGGCTCTTGTAGAGAAATATCAGCTGGAGATGTTGCAGTGTCCTGCCTAAGTGTGCTGAGTGGAAGACTGAACCAAGCCCAGATCAGCTGACAAGACATGCTGCCCAGCCCCCTCATCTTCCCCCCCCTTCCTGTTTGTGTTGTGAGTCAGAACATCTGGTCTGGTGACTTAAACTGAAGTCGCTGCTTTAGTATGTTGTTTTCCCTTCACAAACTCAGGCTTCGATTGCACTGTATGTAAGAAATTGAACTTACAGGAAGAGAGAAATATCAACAGCGTATGTAGTGCTCCAAGGCATCTTTCTATCACCTGCTAGCCAAAAGCAGTATTTACTGAACTTGACACTCTTCCTGTGACAGCACTATCAAAGCTTCATGCTCTTATCTCTGTCCCAGTTGTGCCTTGTGGGGACTCTGAATAGGGAACTCAGGGCCCTATCTACTGGATAGACAGAAAGGCCAAGTACAGATATACCAAGAAGGTGGTTTTTTGATGCAGAACACTTCCTGGGCTGTATTTTTAGAGGGCATATACCAAATAGACGCCTAAATTTATATAAAGATTTAATCATGCAAGTAGATGCTCAGGGGTGACAATGTACAAGTTATATGGAAGCTTTGGGAACTGCAGGTATTCAGAGGGTGCAGGAGAGACATCTCTTAGGCATGTAAGGATGCAGAACTGCACTCAGCTTTGATTAAGCAGCAAGAAAAGATTTGGCACAAAAACAAATGTTCACATTCTCTTTGCATTTTATTGAATGCTGGTCAATTCTTGCCCCCTGTCCATGAGAGCTAACTGCAGTACTGGGAAGCCATATATGCATGTATTTGAGAAGGTAATTGCATGTATCAGACTGACATGATAGTACACATGCAATTTCTATTAATCTATTAAATAAATTGTCAATTTCATTTTAACCTATTAAAGATCAACTTCAAGACTCTGCGTATGAGAATACAATCACATTTATTTATGCTAACCAGCCTGCTTAAATGACAGGTGGAGATTCATCACAGATGACGAAGAAAGAGTTTTACTCGCAGCATTCCATGGATCTCTGGACTGACCCTAAGCAATCACTTAATCTTTCATTATCTTCAGTTCCTCACATGAAAAACCCTCCTAACTGTGGGGTTTTTTTTTTGTTTTTTGGGTTTTTTTTTTTTTTTGCAAAATGCATTAAGGTATCCAAATGATAGGAACTATGTAAACTGTAATAGGAACTATTGTTACTGTAGATGTATTGATAATTTTGGATGTTGATTGAGCATTTAGCTGAACGGCTTCAAGAGCTGATTCGTATTTGTAACAGAATTTTTTGAACATTTTAAAATGGATTCTCATATAATTACAATGAATATTTTAAAATTAATAAGTACTAAATAAGGCACAACAAACACAAATGATAATTCAGTAGCCAGAGTGATAATGTGAGTTCATTGGAGCTCGATCCCCTCTTCAAATATTAATTCACTTGCTGAATTATTCATTTCCTTATTTTATGAATTAATCGGTATCTTGGCAGTTTTGTAACTTGACATCTTTGTGTACAGCAAACCAGGCAGGGATATGACGGCATCTTACACTGTTCACTAGTCTCTAAAGGAGGAAATTTCCATAAGGTGACAAAAGTGTCACTGGAGAATGACAAACCATACTCTTAATTTAATTTCTTGCGTGCTCTTCGCTTATTCACTTGACATTACTAGTGACTTTGCATATGTTACACCTAAATATAATTAAATGCCCTTTTCCCATAGACTTGAGATGTTTAATTAGTGTTTTCAAAGTCATTTGTCTCTGTTGCTTTCAACCTTTCCCACACTGTGACCTAATTTGACAATATATTCCCTTCCCATCGGCACACAGCATGTAATTTTATGCCTGCTCAGGAGAAAGGCAGGATTCAGACATTCTGTCTTTAAAAGGCAGCAAGATTATTCAGCTGCTTGAATTCAAGTCTAACCTACACATTCCCAGAGGAGCCACCAATTTTAAACACAGAAACAAAGCATGCATGCTGTTGCTAAGGGCAAAACTGTTATTAGGCGCTGATTGATTACTGCAACAAAATAAAACTGAAGACACCAGAACTTGTCAGGACAAGTTAAATACGGGTTATGTGAAAATCCAACCAGAGATTTTCTAGAAGCTATAAGCTGAGGCAATTCCAGTTTAGAATGAAGCCTCTCTTTGTGCTCAGTCCTAGATGGTCTTTAAAGACCACCCAAAACACCCAGATCAAAACTCAAACCTCTTATACTTTCAGCAGGGCTTGTATACTTGCACCAGCACTTCTGTTCTTGACTATCTGCCTGGTAAAGTAGCTACTGCATAAAAATAAATGTAAAGGGCTGCTGCTGAGGGAAGTTTCTCTCAGGTGTGAAAAAAGCCATTCTGTGGTGCTCCTCTCAGTGTACTTTTCTTTGTGTTTGGATTTCGTGTCAAGGGACATGGTTTAGTGAGTACTATTGGCGATAGGTGGATGGTTGGACTGGATCATCTTGAAGGTCTTTTCCAACCTCGGTGATTCTGCGATCCCGTCTCCTGGCCCAAGGGGAACACTGGTGAGGCTGGGGGGCAGCTGTCAGCGCTATACTGACGTTACCTAGTGACCCTCAGTGCTGCTGCCACCAGGACACCTCAGCGTCCAGAGATGGAACAGAAACTGGTGGGCGTTACATCCAACCAAGAGCCACGGTGCAAGAATTCAGGTTATGAGATCGAGTCAGCCCCTCAACGCGCCTACCTTCAGAGACGGGGCGGCTGAGAAGCCGGCTTTTCCTCTCAACCAAGTACTCAGGCACCTCTCGCACGCCGATTACTGCATAACGACTTGGCCTCGAGGTGAAAACTCCGCCTGGAGCGGCTGATTGCCCTCCGCACCACGCAGCGGGCGAGAAGCAGCAGCCCCCTCGCAGGGGCGCCCGAACCGCCTCTCCAACGGCTGCCAGCGTCACGTGACGGCCGTCGCGGGGGGGGGGGCGCGTACTCGGCTCCGCGCATGCGCCTTGCGCGGGACCGCGCGGCTCCGGCTGCGAGGGAAGGCGGCGACCGCTTCCGGGTCGGGCGGCGCGGCGGCACCATGTCGTGCGCCCTCGTCCCCTTCGGCCGCTTCCAGGATCTGGAGGCGGCCCGCGACTTCCTGTGCCCTCACCGCCGCCAAGGCAGCGCCGTAGCCGGCGGGGAGAGCGGTGAGTCCCGCTTGCCGCTGGAGGGGGATCTGGGGTTTGGCTCCGCGTGCGGGGCTCGGTGGGGCGGCAGCCCGGCTGTGCTGAGGATACAGCCTGCCGAGGAAGGTGCCGGCTGGGCGTGCCACGTCTGCAGGCTCTGCCGTCACACTGCCGGGCGCTTCTGGTGCCCGTCCGACCTGCCGCACTCGTCTCCGTCCTGTGGGGTGTGAGTGAAGCTCGTCAGGCACTGCGCGTCTCCGGCTTCACCGTGGAAGTTTGCGGTGTCCTACTTAAAGGAGTGCAGCTCTCAGAGGGTTCTGTTAAAGTGCGCATGTCTGAGACCGCAAAGCGCGCTGTGAGCGTGCTAAAGAGTTAGTTTGGTGGCTCCGACGAGAACAAAAGAAGTCACGAAGCAACTGGTCAGGAGCTGGAGACCGGGTTTGTGTTGCACGGGGCAATCCACATCATGGAATGGATTTGGTTGGAAGAGATCACCCGGCCCCATCCCCAGTCGTCGGCAGGGCTGTCCCCCCAGTTCAGGCTGCCTTCATGCAGCCTGGCCTGGAGCACCTCCAGGGATGGGGTATCACAGCTCTGTGGGCAGTGCCAGGGCCTCACCGCCCTCTGAGTGAAAAACGACTGCCTGAAATTTAGGCTGAAAAAGCCAAGCTTGCTGTGTTCCCACAGAATGACTGCAGATCCAAACCCAGGGCTCACAGCACAGTGACAGAGATGTGATATGGCATTGACTGTGTGTTGCTGTGCGTGGCTGCTTTTGTTCTCATTTGAGCCACCAAACTAACTTTAGCCACAGTCTTTGGGCTTTCTGGCAACAGTGTGGAAGGAATGCATTTGAAGAAGCTGATTGGGATCCTTCTTAAGTTCTCTCGTCTATGAACTGACCTATGAGGGAATGCTGAGATGCTTATTTGAAAAAATCTTAAAGGTTTTGTAGGAGATCAGAAGGGGCAAGGCAGCACAGAGATTGTGAAAATGTAAAAATACACTGTAACTAATTTACTGCTGAATCTTGTTGGCTTCTTTTTTGTGTTTATGGTTGAATTTAATACACTCTGTTGTCGAAATGCACTTGGAAAGAAGTAATTTGGGAATAATTTTATGTAACTCGTCTCGATTGTTGTGCATCTTCGATTATGCAAAACTCCTAATAGAAAGCAGTAATGTTCTACTACCATGCTTCTCATTTTAATCCTATGGTACTGTGAAAAATGCACACAGATTCTGCATGGCTCATCTCTTAGTGTCAGTGGTATCTAAAGGATTCTGGAACTGTTAGCACCCTGTTAAAGTGCCTGTTGGATACTGAAGATAAAAGCTGAGAATTGTGTTTGTGTTTCTAAAGGTGCGTGTTGAAAGAAATTCAAGTATTTCTCTATCATTTGATAATACATGCAAGACTGATGGGTGTAAAGGAACTTCTGGATGCTTCTGTTGGTGTGGATTCATCAAATGGCAGCTGTAAAGAGAGGAGGCATTTTGTCTGTTGTAGAAGCACAAAAAAATGATAGCAGCATTGAGATTGCATGTTCTAGAATGTACTGTTCATCCTCTTTAATGAGTAGACTCTATTTGGGGCTATTTTTGTATTTGCTTATTTAGTCATCAAGGCTGAGTATCAAAACTGAGCGTTTCTCTAAGTACCATTCATTTAGACTTATTCACATCTTTTGGATTGGTAGCTGTAATTTTTTTTGATACTGCAGCTATTGGCTCTAAGTGAGTTAGAGTCCTCAAAGCGACTTTAATTAAAGCACACAAACACGCCATGTTGGAGCACAATGTCTCAGTGCATTCATTTTTGATCAGGTGGAGCACTGTTATAATTTGGAGAGGGGTCATGTTAAAAACGAGCACGTTGTGTAAGTATCTTAAGTGAGGGGAAAAAAGAAATGGATTTGGCTGTGTGGAATGGGAGGTTCCTTTCCCTTTACATTTGTTTTGGAGATCGTAGAAATCATTGTCATTGTTTCTTGCTGCCTGCTTTCCTGCCACTCTGCAGTCTAAGCAACTGAGTCACTGAGCTGTGAGGATGTTTGGAAACGTGTTATGCTGGGTGAGATGGTGTAGGTAATGCCGTCACTGCTGCTCCTGAGGTCTTGTACTCTGAGTTGCTGTTTTTGTCTCTTCCTTTATTCTTTACACCTACATATTAATCCAGCCATTTTTCTTAGTCAGTAGCTGAGTTGTGTGGCTGATCAGAGAAGCACCTAAGGTTTCCTATAGTCATTATAATTTGAGGAATTTATCTACAGCTTATTTAAAGTGATGTCAGGAATCACTGTTCTACCAGATGCTGAACTGAAACAAATCTACAGCACGTTAGTGATGTAGCCAGGTGGGCCTGATGCTAGGTAGGACTTAGGGTTATCAACATGAAGTAAAACCAAAAATTCAGTACTTGCCTGTTGTGCAGATATTCGTAGCTCATAAATGTGTTTATCTCCCATTACACAAATGACATTCTTCCCCTCCCAAATCATTTCTCCTTGGGAGCTCCCAGGTGACGATGCTTGCATGTAGTACTAAGCAGGTAACTTCAGGCTGGTACATGGCTCAGCCTACAACATTAAATGCTGTTGCTTACTTTGGGTGGGGCTGGGCATGAGACTGAGGGGGATGTTTTGACCTTGGTAGATAATGTCTAGAGCCAAGAGGTATCACTTCTCTGCCTCTTTTTACAATAGGAATGAAAGATAACCTTGGTAGAAGAGCTCTTCTCCAAAACCCCACAGTGTTAAATTGACAGCATACTGAAAAGCATTCTTCAGCCCCATTCCTTGAAACCACATATTTGGAACTGTGCTTAACACACTTGGCTTTATCTAGACTAACTAATTTGATTCAGAAATTCAGAAAGCCAGACTTTTTATTTCAGAGCTTCAAACAAAGTTAAAAAAATGCATTACAAAATTAATTTCTAGCTGGCATTTGACTATGGGATTCTTAAGTGCATCTGTATGCCTCTTATTCAATTTGTATTTTCCTGTTGAAGAGTCTCTCGATAAACTTTTTTGTATTGCCTCTTTAATTAGATCCTCGCTCTCCGGATTGTGTTGTATACACTGAAGGTTCTTTTCTTTCTGTTCCTGTAAGATATAAAAGAGGATAATGCCTTCATTATGTTTCATATGTAAAGTACATTCTGAGATGCAGGGCAGATGAAAAGATAGGCTCTCAACTCACGTGGTAAAGTGGTGTCAGGGTACTTTGTCCAAACATCCTTCACACCGGTTGGTGTTATTTGTTTTGTTCTGCTTGTTTTTCTGTTTTTACTGCTGTAACATCTTTAGTGGATAGCTTTCCTTCTTTCTTGTTGTGACTGATAACTGGAGCTGCTTGCAATTGAAAAGGGAAGCACGATGTTTTATGTGTCATCAGTTTCATTTCTTTCCAGTGTTGTGTTGTTTCACAACGTTTCCTTCCTGTTGTGCTACCTCCAACTTTGTTTTTGGATAATCTATGACTGTAAACCATGGAAATTTGCAGCATTATTTGAAAAAGCTATGTAGTACGGGACCATTTTAAATCATGTTTGTTTTTCTTGGATTAAAGCAGTAAAGAGATTCTTTCTCCCTTAGATGGTCACAAGAAATGCATTAGCTGGTTTTTGCTTCTTTTTGGATTAGTGGGCAAATTTAATTTGAATGCCATCTTTTTTCTTTTTCATTTCTTTTAAGATAAGAACAGTACAGATCTGCAAAAGGGCTTCCTAATAATGCTGTCAAAGCAGCCCAGTATGTCTGACAGTCTCCAGTCAGGGGGAGTTTGGGAAGAAATGCCCCGTGATTACTGAATGGCAGAAAGTTGTAAAATTATTTTTAAATAAGTCCTTGGCTCGAAGAGAAAAAAAAGCTGATATTTCTGCCCATGTGAAATCCAGGCATAGAACAAATTGGTGAATGAGTTGGTTTTATATGCAAGTAGGATGTATGTGTTACATTTCTACATGATGCAGCTTGAGACTTTATGGACTAAAATCTAAAACCATGTTGAAGACAATATTCTGTCTTGAACACTTTACTCAAATCTATCTCATTTAAAAAAAGAAAAACAAACAAAAAACCAACAAACTTTTCAGTCATATATCCACATATATAGGGGTGGTCTGATCACCGTAGCTTTTTTCTGCACCCAGTTTTCAACACATGTTCTCCATCTTCTTCTGAGGGATATTTTGTGATGCGTTACCACTAGTGAGTAATGCTGTGCTGTGGTTGAAGTATTACAGGTGTGCCCCCCTGTTGGTTCTCTCTCCATTATTTCTGAGATGAATCACTTGTTTAATACTCTGCTTCACTCGCCATTGCAGTTGCATTGCGTAGGTGAAGTTCTTGATATGGATAGAGGCACCGTTTTTCCAGAATTCATGCCTGGAAGGATGGAAAGAATGCATACAGGGGCTTGAGAAATGTGCATCATTAAAGTACATGGGGCAGTCTGTGTAATACTGGGTGGATACAAAGGACTAAGCTTGTAATGGCTGTAAGCTGGAGGACATGCTGGCCTTACAGAGCAGGTCACAGCTGCGAGAGATCTTTGCAGCATCACCAGTGGGATGATGCCTCACTATTACCTCATGTTTTCCCGTCTGTGTGGATTTCTGAGCTATCTAGATTCATCTGAAAGATGATGACAACACTTATAGTACAGCTGTGCGCATAAAGGCTGCAGGAATTGTAGCGGTGAGGGTTTTATGGTGGGTGTTGAGTCTCAGCATTGATGTGGCAGAGTTCTGGTGGAATAGTTGGTCTG